TCAGTTCTGCCATTTCCTAGGGAGAAGGGTGAAAAAAGAAGGGCAAGGTAGGTGGACATGTTACCTATGAACCCCTAGGGTGCATGGAGCCTCTCCTCTACTTGAGCCTCCTCTAAACAGGTACTCATTTACTTGCGCCACGCCCCCAGCCCCACTTGAGCCTCTTCTAACACTCTGCAAACTGTGCCTGCTTCCCCTCCGCACTCAACCCTAGGAAAACTGTCCTGGACCCTTCTTCCTCCCTGCATGGCAATCTGGACAGCTGCTTTTCACCTCTGCAAGCTCCTACGCTCCCTTCCTAGCTGGAGGAAACAGGTCCAGGTAACGAAGTCAAGCTATCCCAAAGGACTCTTGTTCTGTGCTTCTGTGGAATGGGGTAGGGGGAAGAGGTATCAGTGAAGGGACAGAGCCCTGGGCCCTGCCATCCCTGGGCTCTGATTGCATTAAGATGACCTCTCTCCATACATCTGGGTTCCAGAATCACTCACCCACAATGCCTCTCATGTTAGTTAGCATCTCCTCACCCTAGGTGTTCTGGAAAATTCCTGTCCTCCTCCAGAACCTTCAAGACAGCCCTCTTCACTCCACCTCTCTAGTGGGCTATTCCTGTCTCCAACACAGGGTTCTGGGGAATCCTGTGGGTTCCCCAATTCTACCCTTCTTGAGAGAGATTATTATCCCTACCACACCCTGGCCCCAGAATTTCCCTGTCTGCCCTCCTCTTCCTTCTCTTCCAGGGTCTAGACACTAATTCCTGCTTCTCTCTCCTCCAGGCAAAAGCTCCAGGTCTCAGCTGGAGGTGGGTACAGAGGGCAGACTGGGCAGCCATCTGCTAGCCCCCTCTCCTTGGTGCTGCTCAGCATTCCAGCCACATCACTGCTCCCACTGCCAGGGACAGATAAGGTGCAGCTGGAGGCTGGCACCAGCTGCAACTGTGCTCACTCTCCAGCCCTCACCCAGACACCAGCAGACAGCTGCGCCCCCAGCCCCCCTCCACAGAACCCCTGCCCCGCCTACCCTGGCCTTAAGGTGGGACAGGAAAGAGGAGCCTCAGACCCTGTTGCCCTGGTAACCTAGCACCCCACTGGGAAGGAAAGGAGGTAGCCAGGAAAGAGGGGGCCTTGTGGTTGGGCTTTCATTGTTCTTTTGGTAGCTCAGGAGGGAGTTACTGAGGCTTACCCAAATGGGGATACTCCCCTCCACTGCCCCTTCAGTCCCAAAAGATTTACAAACCACTATCTTCCAGATTTAGCTCAGAATCTCCACATTTACCTCCACACTATCCCAAGCTGACTTCACACCTGGGAAGATGGACCCTGGCCTAACACTCTCTGACCACCAATCTGTTCCCTATGGTTCGGTTGGATTCAGAAGCACATCTGGAGAATGCCTGTTAATGAAGATCCTTGTCAGGGGAGATGGGGTCTTTGGGGACTGGAGCAGACCCTTTCTTATGCCTCCCTGAACAGGGTTCCTATGCCTCTTGGAACAGGGTTCTTATTGTTTAGATGAGAGGTGCCCTTGGAACATCCACACAAGAGTCCACATGTGCCCCTGAACACCATGTTTTGCTAACACTTTGAGCAAAGACTTGAAGCCTCAGTTAAGACCCTCTGCTCCTGCTGGCTGGGTGTGTTGGCACATGTATGTAATTCCAGCATTTGAGAGACTGAGGCATGAGGATAATGAGTTTGAAGTCAGCCTGGGCTGGGTAGCCTTGTCAAAAAAAGGAAGGAAAGAAGAAAGTGAGGGAGGGAAGTAAGGAGGGAGAGAAAGGAAAGATGGAAAGAAGGAAGAGACCCTTTGTTCTTCAGATTGCAGAAGATGTCAAGTTGGACTTTCCTAAGCCCTGACACTACAAACATGTTTCTGCCACATTTGACTAGTGGCTAGATCCACAGCCCCAACAAACCTCTGGGCCTAACAGAAAATGAGAGGACAGTGAAGCAAATGTTAATTTTGAGATGAAAGAGAGGAGAAGGTGGAGCACCAGGCAAAGGTTTTGTGAGTCCTCAGAAACCCACAAGGTCCTTTTCCACCAAGAAGACATGAGACAGATATTCAGAACTCCCATTGGTGCAGGAATACCCCTACAGGGAAAAGTGGTATGGCTCTTAACATGGAAAGGGGCTGGCAGTGGGGTCAACCCTGCAGCCAGATTCAGGATCAGGTCCTTGACATGGCTGAGAAACAGAAAAACTCTAATCTCCCCAAGAATGAAGAAGCACCACCATTGGGCCTGCAGGATGCTAACTTGTGTGTCTGTACCCCCACCAAGATTGCTGCAGAACTCTGTGAACCAATCATATCTCCATCTGGCAACTTAGAATTGTCCCCTCAGAAACATGGACCAATCACATTTCAGTATCCCTATTATTGTGACCCAAACATGTATTAGCATCACCATTTGGAGTCTTTTTAGACATGATGGACAAATGGAGGCTCAATTGAACACTTTCTGTGGACTTACTTTATACTTAGCACCTTCTCAGGTTGAACCAAGCACTCCCTCCTGCATCCAGCACTATAAACTGCCCAAACCAATAGGTTTTTCTCTCTTTCCTGGTGTTCTCTTCTGCTTGTGTGTTGGGTGTTTGGGAGAGGGGAAAACTCTGGCTTGCACCTCTACCTTTACCTACAGTTCTACTTCTCTTGGGAACATAGTTTATGAGTGTGGGAACTCTAATTCTGGGGAATTCAGGGCTTTCCTGTAGTGAAAGTGAAAAAGAGAGAGGGAAATGATTCTTGCATCTAGGCTAAGCTCCCTGTCAATGTGGCTCAGCAAGGAGTGTGGTCATGCAAACTTTGTCCAGTAGGATTGACAAAGGGCCGTGAAACTGGTCTGCAAAGCAGGACTTAAAAAGATTGGGAGGTCTTAAACCATAAACATTAAGCCTGGCATGGCTGTAACCTTTCTACACAAACAAACGCAGTTCATGCTCCCCTAATGCTAGGAGGAAGCGAGCAAGTGGGGGAGAAAATGGACTGAGAGAAAAGGAAGACTCTGAGAGTGGAGAATTGGCAGTAGACCTGAGAGCAGGGGTTCATGGGATCCTGGATGTTAAAAGAGCAATGTCAGGAGTGAAAGTGGACACAGGAATTCCTGAGTCAGCAATACTAATGAAAAGAGCACACTGAACTAGGAGCCACAGTGGCTCATGCCCGTAATTCTAGCTACAGGCTGAAATCAGGAGGATTGTGGTGCGAGGTCAGCCCAGGCAAATAGTTCGTAAGACCCCATTTCCAAAATAACCAGACCAAAATGGGGCTGGAGGTATGGCTCAAGCAATAGAGCACTTTGCAAGAATGAAACCCTGAATTCAAACCTCAGTCTCATCCAAAAAAAAAAAAAAAAGAGCACAATGCATTGGAACTTGAGTTCTAATGCTGAAACTGTCATTAACCAGCCAGTGAGCTGGGGCAAATTAGTCTACCTCTCTGTGTCTCAGTCTGTGTATTTGTAAAGTAGAGATATATGGTTATTTGTCAAAGGGATTCAGAGAAACTGGGCTTCGGTGGCTCACTCCTGTAATCCTAGCTACCTAAGTGGCAGAGATCAGGAGGATTGAAGACAACCCCAGGCAAACAGTTTGCAAGACCCTATCTCAAAAAAACCCATCACAAAAAAGGGCTGGTAGAGTGGCTCAAGGTGTAGGCCCTGAGTTCAAACCCCAGTACCACAAAAAAAAGGGGGGAGATTCAGAGAGCCAAGCAAGTATTCTGAAGAGTTATAAGCATCTCCTTCCCATTTGTGGTTATTGTATTTCACATATGGTTCCAGGTCCTTTGGTCTCTTTCCAGCCTCTGTGTGTTGTGTGTGTGTGTGTGTGTGTGTGTGTGTGTGTGTGTGTGTGTTTCCCTATGTAGCCCAGGCTGACCTCAAACTCACAATACTCCTACCTCAAACTCCCCACCCTAGTGCAGGGATTACAGTTGTGAACCACAACACCACAAGCAGCTCTGTTGTGGTTCTTAACTTTAAAGAATCTGTGTGACTTGTCCAAGACAACCTAGCACATTAGAAACCAAAGTCAGTTCCCCAGCACCTATGATGCTAACCTAAGGCAGCCACATCTGTGGGGTACAGTGCCAGTGTTGGGGGGTAATTTTCAGAAGCAAAGGGAGCCTCCAGTTCAGTACATCCTGAGCACCTCTGATCTTGGCTCTGTGACTCTTGCTGGCAAGGGGGAATCTAACCAGACAGAGTGTGTGTGTACACAAGTGTGTGTATGTGGTAGGGATGCCATAGAGACCTGTTCAGCCTTTTTTTTGAGACAGGGTCACAACCCTGTAGCCCAGGCTGGCCTCATATTCACGGTCCCACTGCCTTAGCCTCCTGAGTATTAGGATTACAAGGAAGTGCCACACGTCTGGCTATCTAACAGGATGTTTCCTACTTCCCATGCTTCACGGTGCTCCTCAAACTTTAATATGTACTCATATCACTCGAGATCTTTTGGGGGGGCAGTACTGGAGTTTTAACTCAGGGCCTTGTGCTTGGTAGGCAAGTGCTTTACCACTTGAGCCACACCCCTAGCCTTCACCCTCAGATCTTGGATCTTATCAGAATCCAGATTCTGATTCAGTAGGTCTAGGAAGTGGGGTGCAAAGTCCTGCATTTCTTTTAAGCTCCCAGGCAACAGACTTCCTCTGAGTAACAAGGCTGTAGCTTACCCACCACCAATCCCAACTCTGACACCTGTGACCCAGATTGAAGATTGGACCACCATGCCAGGTCACATGTGTGCCTGTAAGATGTGTGGTACACTGTAGGCTCTCTTCCCTGCCATCATGGATGCAAGGCTGAGGCTCAGGTCCTCACACACTACAAATGTGCCATATGCTAAGCAAAGTTCCCTCCGGCCAGAAGCAAACCCCAGGATAAACAACTTCCTCTCCCCAAGCAGCAAGCACCATGAGAGGTCTGGCCTGCCCCCTGTCTCTTCTTCCTTTGGGGGCCAGTCTAACACCACCACACACACACCAGGGCACTCACTCACCACCTTGAAGTCTTCAGCACTGCAGACCTCTCCTCGGAAGTGGCAGGAGAGCAGCATATCTCGGATGTCGTGCCCTGCTCGATCATAGAACTCACGCATATTGAAGGGCTTGGGCTTGAAGCTGCGGAAGTTGGCTTTGTCCTGCAATATCTCCAGCTGCTTTTCATCAGCCATCTGAGTGTCTGGTATCTCATACCTGGAGCCCAGGGGTGAGTGGCACACGGATCAGCATGACCACCAGAGCCCACATAATACTTGCGGGGGACGGGGGAAGCAGCCAGTCCTGGGGATCAGGTCTAGTCATTGATAGGCAAGGAAGGAGGAGAGCTGGGCATGTCCAGAGGACCTGCCACATGGTGTCTGAGGAGACAGAAGGGTCTGTAGTGGCTGCCCAGGGGGCTGGGCATCTCAGCACAAGGGTGAGAGAAAGCATAAGTAAGGCAGGAGCTATGCCTTTTATAACATAGTTTCTAACCTTTAAAGGTGGCGTGTCCCATCCCTCAAGTGAGGAGATCAGAACATAGTAGCAGGAAGGGAGGGCAAGGTCACTCCAGAGAGGGTGCCCATGTATCACAGCTCAGGCTGGGTGGGGGTAGAGCTGTTTGGGACTATGCTAGGGTCGGGGATTGGGTGCCCTTCACTGGATGCTCAGCAGTACCCCAACTCCTCTATGGTGAGTGGAAGGTCTGTGGGGAGGGCTAGAGAGCAGAGTTGTCTGGCTCTTGATGTGGTAAGGAGGCAAGTATCCTGACTGGTGCTCCAGTGAGCTGGGCTGAGGGGTAGGTGGGAGCTGCCCACCTGTTGTTAAGCAGAGCCAGTAGCTCTCCAGCATGGTACAGGTCATTCTTGGAGACTTGGCTAAATCGGAATTCATTGAGGTTGCACAGAGTGACGGCAGGGAAGGTGAGCTGGGAGGCAGCCACTTCGTCGAGCTTGGTGACGTGATGGTAGTGGAAGTAGTACTGCACGCGCTCGGTGCACACACACAGCAGCACGGCCAGCGAGCCCAGGAAGCAAAGGGCCCACAGGGCCCGCTTCAGAGACAGCCGCTCGTAGGAGAAGATGTGGGCCAGGCCATGCAGTGTGGAGCTGCTGGCGAAAGCCTGGATGCTTACTGGCTGGACGCCACCCACCTCTTCCTCCTCAGCCTTCAGTTCCATCCTTGCCCAGGGGATCCTAGGAGGAGGAGGGGAGACACAAGAGTATGTCATTGTCCTGGGATGGGAGTACATAGGGCACTCCAACTGTGTCCATCCAGAATCCCTATCTGCAGAGGTCTCTGCTTTGGGGGCAGACTTCCCTGGTGTGCAAGCCCAGAGGTTGATGGCCTAGAGACACATTCTGGACAGGGCTTCTCCAAATACAGAGGCTCAGGGGTCGGCTCAGGCCAAGAGAATGCTTTGTCAGAAAAGCTTCCCAGGTCAGGGGAGACCCCAGATATAATCGCTGAAGGAAGGAAGTCCCCATGCTTACACAGGCAGGCACAGGAGTTCTCTCCAGATGTAGGGTCACTCTGGGACAGGAATGTCTACCCTATGGTGGAGATAAAACTCCCCCAGATTGTCTGAACCCTCATCAAGGGTATCCCCAGGACTGGGATCTCACCCCAGCAGCTAAACCTGGGCCAGAAAATCCCCAGGGAGGTGGGTACAACTGGGGAGGGGACTAGCTTGGGTCCTCACCTGCGGTGTCTCCAGTTTTCACATAGGCGCAGGCTGTGTGTGTGTGTGTGTGTGTGTGTGTGTGTGTGTGGTGGCAGCCTGCCTGAGGTGGATGTGTGGTGGGGGGGCGCGGTTCCCTATGACAGACAGTTGTCCCCGCCCAAAACGCACCCCCCCACCCCCCGTCCAGCTTCTCGTCGCAGTCAGATCCCCAGTTCGGCCCCCGTCCCCCTCCCTAGCTACCGAGTCGCCCCAGCAGCTGGGGAAAGCTAGAGGGGAGGAGAGTCACGGCTTCGGGGAGCTGGGAAGCCCCGCGGCCAAAAGCGGTGGAATCGGAAACCCACCTGAGGGGGCTTCAGGAAGCCGGCGGCCGGCAGCAGGTCCTAGGGCGCGGGGCCGTTCGTGGGCTCAGCGCCGAGCCGCGGAGGGGCTCATGGCCCAAAGCCGGAGCCCGCGGCCGCCGCAGCACGCCGCGCAGAGCCCTGCAGGGAGCGGCCCGCCCGGCCGGGCTTGGCTCAGATCTGTCCGCTCGCCCGCGCGCGCTCGGTCGCTAGCTCGCTTCGGCTCGGTCCGCCCCGGGCTCGGCGCGGTGCGCGGTGCGCGGTGCGCGGTGCGCGGTGCTCTCAGCCCCGGGATCTGCAGGGATCCATCGTCCGGCCGGGAGGCGGCGGGAGGGGAGGAGGAGGAGAGAGGGTGCGCGTGCGCGCCTACGAGTGTCTGCGAGGGTGTCTCTGGGCTGGTGTGCGCGCGGGGCCCCCCGGCCCGGGGAGCGGAACCGAGGGCTCCCCCCGCTGGCTCTCCCCCTTCTCCCGGCCGCTCTCGGCAGCTCTGCCTCCCTCCAGTCCCGGAGCCGTCTCTCTGCCTGCGAGGCCCTATGGCTTGTGTGTGTGACTATGTGTGTGTGTGTGTGTGTGTGTGTGTGTGTGTGTGTGCGCGCGCGCGCGTGTGTGTGCGCGCAGGAAGGAGGGTGTCTGCCCCCAGCGTCCCCCTCCCCGCACTGTCTCCTTCGGATCGATGCTTCTGCCTCTTGCTACTGCTTCCTCTGGTGGCACACGCACAAGTGCATACACACACACATACACACACACACGCCCCGAGTTACACTTGACTGATTTAAGCACTTGCCTGTGTGGAGATGGACACATACAGAGCAGAGTCACACCATGCCACTCACAGCCATACACACACATCACAAACGCCCACACATCTTAGAGACCTGACCCACAAGACAAACACTCACTGGCTGACACACCTGTTCATATCCCTGCCCCCACATACATATGACACATACACACATGCACATGTGTAAACAAACACAACCGTGGCTACTCAGACCCCATTCCTATATCACTCAGCTTCCCTGGGGGGGGCATATTTGAAGCCCCTCACTGCCAACTCTCTAAAGCAGGAGCAGAAAAAAAGGAAGGAGAAATAGCCAAAAGTCAAGGTAATTCAGACATAAGGAAAGGGGAGAAGGAATAAAGGGGTGCAGGATGAGGAAGGGTGGGAAAAGGGAGAGATGCTCAGGAATAGAGAAGTCTGGACACTGGTGGGGGCTGCTCTTGTAGTTCTCACCTCTCTCCTTTCCTCCCTCCCTCTCCTTTCTGAGAGGCCTTGGGGGGCCCTCCCTATCCAATTAACAGAGAAGGAGCAATCAAGGGGAAGTTGTTAATTTGCTGATGCTCATTAGGGGCTCTTAGCACTGAGGCTGTTGAGGTCTGATGGTGTCAGATGAGGAGGAGGGGGATGTGGGGATCAGAATTCTATCTCTAGCGGCTCCTTTGCTCCACTTACAGGCTGATGCAGCTCTGAGTAAAGGAGGGTGAGAAGCTTGTCTCTAGGACATGATTCTGGCTTTTAAGTTGGAAGAAAGGAGCCGGTAACAAGGAGGGGATGGCATAGTGGAAGGAAGTTGAATGAAAAGTTGTGAGGGGTTGGAGGCAGTTGAAGGAATCTGGAGGTCCGTAGAGGGCGTATGGGATCCATTCACTAGGGTCCTGGGTACTACAAGCAGCCAAAAGAAAGGGATCTTCCATTCAAGTCTTGGACTGGGGAGCTGTCCAGCAGCACCAGGCAGTGCTGACGGACTGCCATGTCTCTGGGCAGCCACTGGGTGGCAGCACTCACCCAAATACTTAGACTGCACTCAAAGGGGCATTTGGAGTGGGAATTCACTTGGGAGGGTCCCAAACACCGACCTGAGGAAGCATTAGACCTAGTATGATTCTTGAATCCCAAATGTCCTCAGGGGGAGGGGAGGACCATCTTGGAGCATCTGTAATTCTCCCCACCTTCCCACTCTCCCAGGCTGACTGACACAACGAGCCTCTTCTAATATCTGCAAATTGCTTCAATCACCTGAGATGTTACCGAGGGAGCAGCGGGGGTGGAAGGAAGGTGATGAGGTGAGGTGGAGGCAGGCAAGGACTGATTGAGGCCAATGAGCAGCCTCAGGAGGAGTCTGGGGGATGATAAAAGGCATGAATCAGGCGATCTCAGCTCCCAGACCTGGTCTGCCATTCATTAGTGTGGGCAGATCCCTTGACCTCTTTGAGCCTCAGTTTCCTCATCTATAAGATGAAGACAATATTAATTTCACAGGGCTTCTTGAGGATTATATGAGCTAATGCATGGAAAATGCTTACTACTTAGTACTAAGCTTGTACTTATTCACTAACTAAATTCATCATCACTAACTAAATGATGACTATTACTAGCATTAACATTTGGATCCAGTGGTAAAACCACCAGTGCAGCACATCAGGACAGACTTTAAGACAGTAGTTTTTAACTGAGGCTGCACATTTGGATCACCAAGGGGAGCTTTTCAAAATAATGATGCAATGGTCCCATCTTAGATCAGTTAAATCAGAGTCTCTGAGTTGGAACCCTAATCTCCCAACTTTCTTAGATCTGTAACATACAGACACTTTTGAGAAAGCTTGCCTATTAGTATCTGAGGGTCTGAATCAAGACTTCTTAGTATCATAGGCCCCAGCCTTAGGAAGTTCTTTGTTATACCCAGCCCAAATCCCTCAGGCTGTCATTTCCTCTCCATTTCAGAAGAGATGGGTTCTCTACCCACACAAATCACCCCCTCCCTGCTCTGTACTTTGCAGAAAACCTCCATTGAGGGTCAAATCCCAGGATGGGCCCTGAGGACAATGTAAGGGGTACCATAGTCCTTGTCCTCAAAAATCTCTTAGTATCAAAGCAGAGATGAACTTGTTGACAAGTGATTCTAGTACAAAGGTCAAGAGTGAAATAGAGGGGCAGGCCAGGGCTGCCAGCACAGAGTAGCAGAGGGGAAGTCATTCTGACAGGGGTTTGAGGCCAGGGATGAGGAAAAGAGGAAGTTGGTGATGCCAAGGCCTTTGAAAGATGACACTTGAGGGATCCAAGGACTATGACTAGTGTCCCACCACTCCTTCCTGCTTCTCAGGGTCACCCACCTCTTGTCCATCCTCTGGATCCTCCAGTGTCCTCCCAGCTTCTTGTCCACACTTCATTATCTCTGGCCCCTGCAGTTCCTACATCTTAGATCCTTTCTGTACTGGGGCTTGAGAGGGAAACAGGCCTGGAGATGATCTACCTCTACGAGAGAGGTATCTGGGCAGCACCCACCCATGGTTTTGGTATCATGCTGACGGGGGTTCAAATCTCAATTTGTTCACTCCAGTGCTGTGTGGTCCTAGGCAAGTAACTTAGCCTATCTGAGTGTTGCTTTTCTCCACAAATCATAAAATGCAGCTGTTGTCCATGCTGATGAAACAATGTGTGCCTGGCAAACAGTCAGTGCTCCATCAATAGAGGCATAACGATCATCCCCGAAAGGCTGATGGGGGCAAATTCTCCATGAACGCTTCCCTTGCAGACGGCTCCATCTGCTCTAGGCGCAGAAGCACCCTCCAGCCTCTCTGAGAGGAGTGGGAGGAGGGGAGGGCAAAGGGGGGACAAGGCCCCCTGGGACTCCCAGGCAGCTCTTCTCGCTCCCCCGTGCGTGAAATCACACGCGCCCCAATCTGTCTGCATCCACTTTATCTGCAAACTCAGCAAATGCAGAGACAATTAAGGAGTTAATTAACAGGCGTTTGGGAAGGGGCTGGGGACCCATCAACACCTCCCTCCTTCACTCTCCCATGCTCCATGTTACCCTCCCATGACCCTCACTTTCTCCACCTGCTTTCTGTCTTTTTCTGGCCCAAATGCTCCTCTTATCCTCCTCCTACACTTCTCTACTACTCTCACCCTTTCTTCCCTACTCTGCGCTTTCCTTCCTCTGACTCCTTTCTTCTTCCCCATTCCTCCTCAAGTCTCAAATCTTTCACTCAGCTTTTCCCCCTTTGTTACCCAAGTCACTGCCTTCTCTGTCCTTCAAGGGTTCACCCTGTCTCCTCCTCACTTCCTCCTCCCATCCTTGCCCCCCTTCTCCCTCTCCTCTCATCACCCTTTCCTCTCCAACTTGAATTTGGGTCTCAGTAAATGTGTTTTGTGTGCTG